TATATGAATGGCTTCTTTTCAATATATAATTACAATATTCCTCCCTTTTAGATGTTATATCAGTCGTTCCACCCTCTTGTTTAATCCATTTGTTTCTTTATCTTCAAATTCACAAATGCCATTTCATTTATTTATTCTTTTAGCAAAAAGTACATATAAGGTCCCTCGTATTTCAAAAATAGTGGTTATTAAGTGGAGTAATTATCTCAAAGAGGGTATTTTGGGCATATCCTGAGAGAAATGGGGGAATTCCTTATTTGTGAGTTGAGGATCCAGTTTGGATCTTTTGAGATGCTTTTGTAAAACAACAGGATCTGATTTCTTGGGGTCAGGGGGATAATGACATTATTTTAGACTGGGAAAAGAGGCAATTGGATCAAACAGTTTTAAGAACTACAGTATTGGTTTGGAGAGGAGGTGAGTGGACTTTATGATTGAAATTTTCTCCAAAACTGGCATAGGGAAACACTCCTTAAAGCAGTTGGGAATGCAAGAGATTAAAACTCTTCTGTTATCATCACTTCCTGCTACCAATGGCGACTGCCAAGTTCCAGGGGACTAATTGTGTTCTCTGAAACACAATACTTATCTGACAAAGAGTCACAACTGAAATATATTTATCAGTCTACAGCTACCACTGGGCCATGTGAATGGCTGGCCAGGATGTGCACATGTGTGTGTGCACTCCCCCCACTCGTGCTAGCACTGCCCTGTGTGTTGCACGAGCACTAGCCTTGCTCCCAGTGTTACATGAGTGTTGGCACAGGTGCTAGCCTCGCCCCCAGCATCGCATGAGCACTTGCACCGCCCCAATTTGTGTTGTGTGCACGCATGCAGCCCCATGCCTACCCCTTCCTTTCCCTCCGGGCTGCCAACCTAGAAAGGTTGGGGACCTCTGGTCTACAGCACTCACAGAAAAAGTGAAAAAAATAATGAAGCCCAGTCTGTGACCCAGGAATGAGAGAACTGAAATATAAAAAGTTGTGCTGCTTGTTAACCTGGAACTGTAGTAATAGCATTATTAAAACATATAATTGAGTACCTGGAATTGTAGTAATAGTATTATTAAAATATATAATTGAGTACCTGTGGCATATTTTGGTTGATAACATTCATTAGACATTGATATAGATAAGTACTTGTTTATCAACTTTTAATTGAAAATTGCTATTTGCCAGTAAGAAACAGATACAGACTCACAACTAGAATGTGACAGACACAAATACCAAATTTGTGAACATATCTTATCTGGAATATATTTCATGTCCTTCTGTTTTCATTCACAACTTCTTAACTCATATGTTCATCTTCCAATGCGGTATATGCCATCATCTCTATTTGAAATAAAAAGGGAGGGAGGCAATAGGTAGATAGACACAATTATAGTATCAGAAATGTGTTGTTCCATTCCTTTCTTTTTGGGTTACAAAGTAATATTGAGAGACTTCTGCTTGATTACTTGGGGAAGTAGACTATCCCACAAGATTCTGTTTTGTTACCCTCAATATTGATATCAACATGAAGGTATTGCAAAGGATAATTTCCAGGCTGGGACTAGTTCCATTAATATGCTAATGATACTTAGCTATATTTATTCTTTCTGAGAACTCAGGTAGATGCTACTTGAGCTTACATGAATATGAAGGACTGTAAAAAAATAAGGTGAAGCTATGTTTAGAGCGAAGACTACACTTTCATTGATTCCAGGGGCTGAATGTCAGGATGTGTGAGATGCACCTCTTCTGGATGAGACTGCATCCCCGAGGAACGTCTCTGCAGTCTGTGGATTCTCCAGCTCAACAGCCATATAATTTCAGTGAAGGAGATAGTCATTTATTAGATTCAGTTGATACAGCAGTAGGTCCCATCTGGGAGGAAACAGACCAGTGATTCAAGACTTGCAGTGTGCTTTTTGTCAATCAACCCTGTATCTAACTCAAAAAACAATATTATTAGTGGTAAGGGAATCTCATTTGAGTCCCACATTACCTCTGGGTTGAAATAACTTCATTTTTCAGCTTTTGAACATCAATGGAACAACTTCTATGGCTCATGACACAAATATAATTAACACATTACAGTACATATTAAATCGACTTTCCTGTTCCTACAAAATTTGTGTAAAGCCACAACTGTTTATGGAAACAGTTTTTTTCTCCATCTTTCTGAAACTTGATTTATTTTTTGGGTTGTATTTCATGCTGTATGATCCAGTCCACATCTTGGCTGTGCAAGATTCAGTCCTCACCAGCTAAACCAATGGGCGATTTTAATAGAAGGTAATATATGTAGTTCAGGGTTGAACCATGGAGTCCTTGGTGCTCTTTGAGCTTGATTGTTGTTGTTAGGGTTGTCTTCCAGGCCCCAAAACACTAGGCAAATAACCAGAGCTAGCAAATTCCTTTTGATGGGCCTTGCCCAACTTATGCCTGTTTATCTTCTTGTAATCCCTTTCTCTCCAATATTGCTGCTGTGCAAGATGTAAAAAACCAGGTCAGACACAGGATAGTACTTATTAATTGATTGTTATGACTGTAATGGTGAATATGTAACTAATAGAGAGAGGGGGGGGGATGCTGGTTGCAAAGTTATGTTTTCAGCACCACTGTAACTTTGAATGGTTTATGCATGAGGCAGTTGGAAAGCAAGGTGTACTGGTACTCATTATTATATTTTTTGAACTGGAAGATAATTATCTGGAATGCTTTCCTTGTAATTAGTGTAACATAGCTATATTTATTATAGCATATAACTATTACAATGTGATTGTATCTGACCTATTAGAAACTTTGATCAACAGCAAAGATAAGCAAAGTACAAAGATATGTAAAAAAGTATTAATTTAACTTTGTTGTACCCAAATTACAGTAAACACAACAATGACATACCTTGGTTACAGTTGATCATGCCCAAATTTGAACAAAGTGTTGTTGCAAATATTGAGTAGAATGATACAATCAGAACATAACCACTCATGTTATTTGCTCTGTAGTGATTGCCACTATTTTCCTTTATGTTACTTTGCCTGGATAGTAACATATAGGTCAAGTCCAAACCACATAGTAATAAAATTCTGTGAGGATAAAGTGGCATTATTTCATGTGTGAATAGCTGAGTTCATTGTTGGAAGAGAAAGGTGCAAATAAAATTAGCCATTTTCTAAATCTAATAATTAAAAAAAAGTTCAGCAAAAAATTCAGCAATACAAATATAATTAAGAAAAACTTTTATTTAAAGTTTATGTAAAACCATTGAATAAAAAGTATATATTTAGAAAGCTAAAAAGAACAAACTAAAAAGAAAAGTAAAAAGAAGCACTAAAATAATTTTATGCGAAAAATAATAAATTACAGTTTCAACTTTTACTACTATTCTGTGTCACTAAAATAGAAGATCGTATACAATATTAAACACAGTATTAATTATAGTATTAGCATACAAATAAAATAGAAGGATAAAATAGAGTGTAAGTATTTCAGTGTACATCTTCCATTTCCTTCCATTTTTTAATTGTACCATAACCTCCTGGTACATTTTCTAACAATTTCAAAGATCCAAGAATAAAATCATCATTGAGTATTAGATACCCAAAGTAATAGTCATAATAATAAGTTGGTTAAAAATCTTAGTTTACTTCCTCTGAATTTAATGCATTATATTTCATTCTTTGTTTTGGGGGAATGTGCTTCCAGTCAGGTTTTGACTTCTGGCAATTGATTGACTAGTCCCTGTGGTGTACTTGATAAGGTTTTTCAGAAATGATTTGCCATCGCTGCCTTCCTAGGTCACCCAGGCTGGCTTTGTACATAAGGTTTCTGGTCTGATGTCTTAACTACCAACCCAAACTGATTCTTGCCTTAATCCTAGCTATGGAATATATTTGACACAGGAAATGTAGCATTTGCAGCATGTTCAAGGTTTGTAAATTTAAAAAGGTGCTGATGTAGTATTCTTTTATGTCTGGATTATTTAGTTTTCTTGCAGATATGGACAGAAGGATCCTCCATTTGGTGTAGTAAACCCTTAGTTGTTTAGCAAACTGTGAATAAATACTATATAATTCTACTTGTTTTTAACAACTCTATTTGTTACATGTTCAGGTTGATAGATTTGAATATTTCCTTGATGGTTCTTGGGACTGAAAGGCATCAGGGTAGATAATTCTACAAAAGCTTTTGGAACAGGGAAATAGAGAAGAGTCTTAGGTATTAGCTCTTCATATTTATAGTCAAAAAGCACCCTATTTTTCAAGGAATTGCAGCAATAAAATGAATGGGAGCTAGAGTGATACTGGTAGAACATATAAAGAGAATGACTTAATATACAATACTTTACACCAGTGCTGGTTAAATTGTAGCTCCCTTAAGACTTGGATGAAGAAGCCTCCAGAGCTCTGGCATCTAAATTGCAATGTTTTAACGTGATAGAAGGAAAAAATCATTAAATTCATGGAGAGCAATCACTTAAACTACATTTAAAGTAATTTTCATTTAATAAAATGTATATTGCGGTTAAATCTCATTTAACTTTTGTATTAGTCCTTTTCTTTTTTTTTAAAGAGTGCAGATAATATGCATGTTTAGTGAAAGAGGAAATGAGGCTAGTTTCTTTGCTACATTCATGTGCCACCAGAAAACTATTATAGAGTTGGGTAAGTCCTTAGCTGCAGCCGCTGGGTTGGCTGTTCAGATGAGTTATAATTAGTTGAATTTAGTCTGTTTTATGGGCGTCATTTTAATTGAATTTTTCTTGTGTGCTTAAATGTATTTGCTTTTGTTAGTCATTACCCTTTGTTGGAAAAGCAGAGTAGAAATTCAGTAAATTAGCAAATTAACCACCTGAGGGGTAACTTTGCTTTTTAAAAGAACAAATCACATTTTAAAAAATTCAACTTAATAGTTCTCTTCAGATCCCCATAATTAAGATTAAGCTAGATTATAATGTTTCTAAGAGTGTTGGGAAAACAGGCTAATTTGTTTCTTCTTTGGTTTCACTTTCAGATCCCGAATTCAAGGATCTTGGGGTTTTGAAACCATTGCCAGGTCGGTATGTTCAGTTTTCCATAGCACTTCAAAGCCTTTGTATTTGATCTGATTTTCTTCTTGCTTGATCTTTATGTTTTGTTGTTATTCAGTTTGTGAGTTTCAAATGGGAGGATCTGAAGGAATTGTGGAATCGGTGCAGATCGGAAAAGAAGGGAAAGCTTCTGATTCTGAGGCTGTTGATTGTAAATGGTACATCCGAGCACCACCACGATCCAAGGTCAGTTCTGTTCCATTCTTTGATTTGGAGTAATAATTTAAGAAAGTGATTATATTAATACAGGATTTATTGCTTTCTACAAATGGATTTTGTTTAATAAGCAGTATCTATGGAACATGTAAACTTACATTCTTTGCTATGCAGAAAAAGTAATTATCAGTGTAAATATTTTGAGTAGTATGGTAGATTTAGAGCATATTTAGGCAATTTTTAGGTTTGGGCCCTTTCCTATGTATCAATTTATATTATAGTACATATATCATCATTTAATATTTTTGAGGACTCCAAAACTTTCAATTACTAATTCTGTAATATAAGTACCACTTTTCCAGAATTAAAGAACAGTGTTTTGACAGAAAAGGCAGATCCATACTGTCCAATTGCCCTACCATCTTCTTCTCAACCCCAGTATGCTAAAATGCAACTTTCATTGTCTTCTGCAGACACTCCAATTTGTCAACATTTGTTTTAGTAGTGCCCAGAAGTGGATATGGTATTCAGATGGGTGCCTGATCTAGGTAGAGTTGATGGGACAATTAGTTCCCATGGTCTTCATTCTGTGCTCCTATTAATACATTGTAAAATTGCATGTCTTTTTTACTAGCTGTATTATGCTGTTGGTTCACATTCAACCTGTGATATACTTACACACCCAGAATCTTTTCACATGTGCAGCCAAGTTTTCCCATATTTATTTCATATTTTTACCTAGATGTGGAACTTTATATTTCTCCCTATTAAGTATATTTTGTTCATTTTCCTTGTTCAAGTCTATTTTTGAATATATATATATATTTAAAATATGGGTCCATCCCTCCTAATTTTGTGTCCTCTTCAGATGTGATGATCGTCATCATCTCATTAATAAAAATGTTGAACAGCACAGAACTCAGTTTAGTACCTTTGACACTCCAGTCAGTACTATTATCTAATTTGATATAGAGCCATTTAAGAGTACTCTCTGGACCATCTTTCAGTCATTTATAAATGTCTATAGTTGTTTCATTATCATTTTATTAATGAAGACATCATAAGAAACTTGGTGTCGTCTGCAAATTTGATGAGTTTCCCCTCTATCCCCTCGTCCAAATCGTTGATGAACATGAATATGAATATGAGAGGAAGCCACCTAGAGATTTTCGTTCACATTTCCACTTATAATGCTGCTGCTCCAAACATGGAATGGCAGAGGAAGGAAAGAATGCCAATTGTTCTTCTCCCATTCCTTGAAAATAGATAAATTTAATAAATAAATAAACTTGCTTAACATACCTGCTGCACTTTCCAACACTATGTCATGCCAAGAGCACCATAGAGGTTATATAAAATCTATTGCTCATGCCCGGAAATTACAACAGCACCATAATATGTAAGAAAGGTGGGCAGGTTATCCAGACCAGGAACAAATCTTTATAAGCATATAAACCTCTCTTCACTTAGAAACGAATAAACCATTTTTCCTTCTTAACTGTGAGGTTTTGTTTTTGTCAAATTTTAAAGTCTTTAATATATTTGATGGGAAATTTATTACTTTTCCAATAGATATGCTTTTGCTAGCTTCAGTGTGATTTTTTTGGCTACAGATGAAAGGGCAAAACTGGTGAACTTTGCTTGAATATAGACAGGCTCTTATTATGGTTTTCTGACTTGCCCAATCAATCTTGTCAAAGCAAATGTACAGTAATTGATGAAACAGAATTTATCAAAAATGATTCATTATGAGGAGCTTATAATAGAGTTTTACTGAAGTTATGTGTTATTCAGAATTTGGGATAATTAAATTTCTCTTAATATATGTGGTCAAGGGTTATTGTGTTCAAATTAAAATTAAAAAAACCTTTTTCCAATTCAATCGGCATTGCTTTTTTATCATTTAAAAAAAATACCAACCTTAAAAGTGACAAGACAGTAATTTAAAACTGTAATACAATCAGGGGCTATTAATTACATATGTCATGGCTGCAGTGAGGTTATTGTATTCTTTTTGGTAACAGCTCTGCCATTTTGTAGTGACATTCCAAAGCTGAAACACCTCTGAAATTCTGTCCTTTATTTTGGTCAAAATTACAATAAGATCAAATGGTTCGTGGATTTTTCTGACATTTTAAAACAAAATGTAAAACAGTGTGTATTTTTTCCTTCAATCACATAACAATGTCTCATAAGAAAGTATTTATAATGCAGGACATACAAGTGTAGGTTTTTAAAATAAAAACTGCCATCTTGCTCCATTTGAAGTGATATTAAATAAACAAAAATGCTTGCTGGATTCATTTATTTATTTGATGTAAGGCCAGAGATTTTTGTGGCTTACATTATACATTATATTTAAACAAATAGAAACCACGTGTGTCCAGACATAATACACTCCATGTACTGGGTCGGGTACACCCAACAGCAGGGGTAGCCAACTGTGGCCATTTTACAATCTGTGAACTTGAACTCCCAGAATTCCTGAGTCAACACAGGGAGTTGAAGTCCATTGGTCATACAGTTGCCTACCCTTGCCCAACAGGGATCTAGCAGATACTCAACTCCAGGACCTGGGAGTAGAACCAGTTTTTTTAAAAAAAAACTTCTGGAGTATTATTAGTGTGGAAATAAATAGGAATAAGTAAAGCATTTTTGTAATGAAGACATGATAGCTCAAATTTCATCATTGAAAATAGTAGTGTATTATTGGATAAAACATTTACCTATACAGTTTTTGCATCTTAACTAATATGTATAGGTAGATCTCTTTCAATTCCTCTAATGGAATAGCTATATTTAGTTATTTTTGATGGGCATACGAGGTTTGCACCCGTGCTGTATTACAGTGAAAAATTAGAAAATTATCTTTGTAAAATGCTAGCAATTGTTAGTGATTTAAAAGAGAAGATTGGGATCTCAGAATTGTACATTTTCAGTGGGAACTTTTTTTAAATACAGCGGTGGAAGAAAAGAGTTGTCATTGTGATGCTACCAACTCTGTTTTTAATGCAACAGTTTAGTAATTACTATTATTATACTTATAATGTTAACCTTAAGTAATATTATTTATTATATTTATCTTGAACTAATATAAAAGAAGACTTGGTGACTCATTATTTTATTATAACAAATGCTTTGGCTAGTCTCTCCATAAGCAAATGCAAGAAAAAATTATAAGGAATTATAAACAGTGATAAATTCTACAAGAGAATGAAACATCTAATACTCCAGGCAGATAAACCTTTATTTATAATCAAAAGATTCCATTGAAGTTGTGCAGTTGCTACACATTTATAACTATACTTCATCATATAGTAGTCTCTCAGGCTGAGCCTTGAAACTGAAAGCATAATTGAGCTGTTGTTTACAAGGAAATTGTATCATGCCAAAATCAGGGCAAGTGATTTTTGGGGACCATTGGGCGCGTTTGAAATGCTAAAGTTATTTTATGGACCCAGTGTAGAAATAGGTGGGACCAAGGGATGACAATATCTGGCTTACCTTGTTTGGGCCTGGTAGTTATGTAGGTGTAGTCTGCTGTAAAGTTTGAGCAGGAGAATTCTGGGGAATACCAGAACTGCAGGCTGCAGTTGAAAGTTGGACTGCATCCCAGAAAAAGGGATTGGTGAAGAAAAGAATCCCTTAGAACTCAGACTTTACTCTTTATTAACTCAAACCTTTACCATTTATGAGGCAAAGGATTAAGTTAAAATCTATAATTAATAAAATACACAGAACCTTAATTAAATTCATTTCCTCTGTCTATAAAAATATGATTTTCATTCATACAAAAATAATGGCAACAAATAGATTTATTGCACACAGACTTTGCAAAATTGATGTAACTCTAATCCTTATTGTAAAATAATTGATGTTTTCTACCTTTTTAAAAAAAGAGTTTAAAAGCAGATTTTCCCCCATGGGCTCTTTTCTATGCTGATATTGTTTCCAAATGGTTATAGAAATGTATGGCTGCTTCAGTGATGGAGCCTAAGAGAAGAGTATCAGCTATCAGTTTACTTTTCCTTCACCATTGATTTAGTGCTTAAGCACCAGGCTAAAAAGCAGGAGACTATGAGTTCAAGTCCCACTTTAGCCATGAAAGCCGATTGGATGATCTTGGGCCAGTCTCTTTCCCTCTCTGTCTCAGCCCCCATCTCATAGAGATGTTGTTGTGTGGACGAAAGGAGGAGGAAGGGGGTGTTGGATATGTTTGCAGTCTTGAATTATTTCTAAAGCAATAAAGGCAGGATACAAACAAATAAAATAAAAATAAATATATGTTGTATGCACACACATACAAATGTTCGGTTTCACTTCAATTGGTGGCAAAAACATGCAGTCTTAGTCTCTTTTCTCTAGCTAACATGTGCAAGGAAAACCATAATATCTACATTTCTTGTCTAGTAGGAAAATGTTCTTTACCAGTTCTCTAAGTTTCTGGAACTTGATCATAATGCAGGTAAACAAAGAACCGTAACCTAAATCTTGCTTTTTTCTTATTTAAAAATATAACTGAGATGAAACACAAAATATTATTTTTAAAGCTGACTTATTGACAGAGAAACAATAACAGTAAAAGAAGTTTTTGCTTCCCTGTTGTATCGGATATAGCAACAATTGCTTTAAAGCTAATAATTATTTGACTGGAAAGATAAAGACCCCCACTACACACCGTTAGTATTTGAGTAAAACCAGGTTAAAACTCCCTAAAGTCCTCTTCTCTATTTGTAAGTGATAAACGGTCTCTATCTAAGGAATTGGAAAATAAAATCAAGACTGAAAAAAATTCTTAAGAACCCACTAAAGTACTCCAGTGAAAAAGTATTGCTATTTAAAGCATCCCATTCAGGTCTCTAAAAGAGAAGTATATACTTCTACAGGCTTCAGCAAAATAAGAAGAACCAATAGAGCAGGCATGTCAAACTTGCGACGTCATGTGACGTTGCGCGACGTATCGGAGCTTTTTGGCCATTGCTGGCAATGGGGTGGGCGCGGCTCTGGTATGATGAAACCGGCCCGTGGGCCGGCATTTTGACACCCCTGCAATAGAGGAAGGATTGGATTTTTAAAGATAGTCATTCAGACTGAACTCGTTTAGCAAGCTGTTTTATATCACATGCATTATTAGATCAACCATTATTTAACACCAATCCCATTTATAGACCAAACCATTGCTTTTAGGTCTCTTTCCAGAAACTAGTACTTTAGATTTGGATAATTAATCTTCATCTCATTATAAGTGCTAAAATAGCCAAATTTAAAGCTGATCAACTCAGAAGTGAAGAGACATAGTTTCTTAAGATGACAGGATGACCTTTCAAGATTAGGTAGGTTTTTTTTAAAAAATCATATGATCTTATTCTAATTTATTTTTTAAATTTCTATGTCACTTTCTCAGAGCGGTTTTTCACCATGTATGACTTTAAAACATAAAGAAGACATACTTGATTAAGAATGAAGTTAATTAGTGACATGATAAATCAATTAATTGGCTTAGATATTTTCTATTTCCTTTTTTAGTTCTGTAAGTTTTTGAACCTTGCTAAATGTTGTTATGGCTGTTGTAATTATGACAGGTAACTAATGAGTTTGTTGCGGATATATAATACAGTTATGAAATGTCATAAGTGATTTAGATTACTTTGTAAAATAGTATATGTATTAGGAAATAATTCAGGAGAATGAAATTACTAGAAATGCCACAATTTTAGACTTAGTTGTATTTGATTAGTCATATGTGAGATAAAAGTCTGCATTTACTGTAATGTAATCTACAGGGCATCTAGCGTAAGCTTAATGGGATGATCAAAGGCATGCCTCTTTTTATATGTCTGTCTGTCTGCTATCTGTCTGTCAAGTTTGAATATGGAACATCATGTTCTCTCTACATCTTTCTGCTTTTGGGGTGGGGGTAGGGTGAGAAGAAGGACTTATCTATTAGCAAGCACTGAATTCAGCCAGCAGATAATCATTTGACCACTTGAAGAAAATTTCAGTCTTGCTTTACTAATTCTTAGTTCAAGAAGACTGAACTAAAATAAATTTTGGTGCCATTTCTTAACTGATTAGAAAAGAAACTTACAGCACTTCCACTCACCTAAAACTGCTGATGATCTAGCAAATTATACTGTTTTGTTTTGATGAAGTTGCTATTTGTTTTAGGACAAATTGGCTTGAGAAGAACATTCATTTCAAATATCTGTGGGTCATTTTTCATCTTTTTTGAGCTAAAAATAAGACTGAGTATGTGGCCCATAGCATCAATATAGTGTTGTGGCAATGCTGAGTTCCTTTTCAGTTAGAAATGCAGTGTTTCCTTGCAGATTTAAGGTTTTTTGAAGCTAAAGACCTTGCTCAGTTGTTGGACACAATGTTTATAAAGTACTATAAATTAGTTCTGAAAATGGTCCAATAGAAATATTAAGATCTATTTCCCAAATTCACTCAATGCATACCAAATGCTATTAGATGTCTTGAACCTGGACACATAAAGGTTGTGGCAAGAATTTGGATTGATATGCTTAATTTGTTATTTTTTAAAAAAGAAACATTTATTTCTGTAGCAGTAGAGCAACTACTGATTTCTAGAAAGAATTAGATCCTTGTGTATGAAATTTTGATATTTACAATGTAGTGTAAAAGGAAAAAATATTTTCCTTGCAACCTCTTCTTTCTGTTCCTTCAGTTTTTCCTTTGGGATATACCTCCCTTGCTCCTGTCCCATTAGTTTCTATATTTCTTTGTCTTCCTATCATCCTAAACATTTCTGAGTTTAATCAAGAAGATGAGCAAAATAAGATAGCTCTTTGTTCTTTTTTATGTTTTTTCCAGAATGTTAGAAACTATTTGTCATTATTGTACTTATAAAGAAATTAAATGAGTGAGCAGTAAAAGACATTTATTTTCAATGGAAGAATGTTTCATTTCCCAAACTTCAGAAACTTAACTATTGTTTATTAGTTGTCCTTTGGATACAAGGGTTTTACTAATTATTATGGACTGATTATTTTAATTGATGATCCTGCCTTAGGTTTCATTAGGCATTGATCGATTCTACTATGCATTGCTGTGGACCATTAAAGTTTAAAGTGCAGAGAGAGATAACCTCTGTATAGGAATTTTGATATTTCACAATTAAATTACAGAAAAGTTAACAAATTCTATTATTTTAAAATAAGCAGGTAATGTTCTCACTACTTAAAGAAATAAGAGAAGAATGTCAAAGCCTTTTTCCTCTTAAATATTCCTGGATTTTAAAACAACTAATCTACTAGTTTTGAGACAATGGAAAAGAAAGGACAAACAGGAGAAAAGAGGACAAAATATTTCTTACATTTTTTTCCTTTTCTGTAAATAATGTAATGTGATGAAACTATATGAAGAAGCATATTCATTTTCTATTCTGTTCTGAGTAATATAAAGATGTTTGGTTATTGTTATGTGCATACATAGACTTGATCATTATGAGTTTGTGATAAGCGTACATGAGAAAATTCTTCCAAGGAAAAATAAATTGTTAGAAAAAAGGTTCTCAGTTCCATTCATGATCCTGTCTTCTTCCTGTATGCTACCATTCAGTAACATAAATATGATCATTGTTCACTGCTGTAGATCATTTGAAAAGCAAAAAAATGATATGAAAATGAAAGTATTGGTCTGTGCTGTCATGTTCACTGTTCTCTTTTTTATAGATATATTTACGATTCTTGGACTATGAAATGCAGAATTCTAATGAATGCAAAAGGAACTTTGTGGCTGTCTATGATGGAAGTAGCTCAGTGGAGGATTTAAAAGCAAAGTTTTGCAGTACTGTTGCTAATGATGTGATGCTGCGCACAGGTCTTGGAGTAATCCGCTTGTGGGCAGATGAAGGCAGTCGAAACAGCCGATTCCAGATGCTCTTCACATCTTTCCAAGAACGTAAGATACTTAATCAGAATTCCATTGTTATGTACTATTTAATGATGTTTTCCTTCAAACCAAGTAAATATGATGATACTGTATGTGATAACCAAGTAGGATATTTTCTGCTAAGTCTCTACAGATGCCCTATCTATATATAAAGGGAACCCCAGGTGGTACATAGCGACTTTGATTTCCTTGCTTGTCAGAAATATGTATGAGGATTAAAATATCAATGCTTACAAAGAATGAGAAATCTTTTTCAAATATACAGACATTACAAGAGTGAGTTGTTTAATATCTTAGAAAAGAGAAACAAAATTCAAAATTATTGTGGTGATTTAGAGAACTATGTCAAAAATAGAAAAACGAAGTAGAACAAAGACATGAGCAAAGCTTTCAATTAGGTAACAACCTTGATAATAGTCCTTGCGCAAAAGTTTTTATCATCGTTCTGATTATTAAAGATGAGCCAGCAGTGTGATATGGCTGCATAAATAGTTTGATTTTATTCTACAGATGTCAGAATACCTTACTTTGAATATCTAGTTTTAAACATAATTTAGTAAGAAAGATTCAGAAGAACTAGAATAGATTTAAAGAGGGATGCTAGGCTAGAAACTATAAATCGTAGGATAAAATTGTGGACTTTCCCTGTGATAGCCAATTTCTGGAGAGTCTTCAGAAAAGCCAGAATATAGGGCAGTGGTGGCGAACCTTTGGCACGGGTGCCAGAGGCGGCACTCAGAGCCCTCTCTGTGGGCACGCACACCGTCGCCCCAGTCCTAGGCTTTCAGCTGGGTTTTATAAAACCTTTTCACTTTAGGACTCCGCCGCCATGTGCAAAAAAAGAGGTTTAATCAATCAGTCAATTTCAACTTCTCGCGGAAAAAAAAAGATCTTACAAAGTTGGAATTGATTGATTGAACTTTTTAGTCCCACCCAGTCTGCCGTTACCACTGCAGCCATGCCCACCCAATGGGCCACACCCAGCCAATGGGCCACACCCACCCAGCACCCAACGATGCATATGTGGGTTTGGGTTGCAGTTTGGGCACTCGGTCTCTAAAAGGTTCGCCATCACTGATATAGGGTTAGGGTTATGAAAAGGGTTATTAAAAAAAAGTGAAGAAGTTTGGAATGTTTAGTCTTCAAAACAAGAAGACCAAAGGGTGATGTGATAATACTTTTAAAATAACAGAGAAGGTACTTCATTGAAAATCAAATTTATTTTCTAGTCTTCAGGACACAGATTAATGGATTTAAGCTCTAGAAAGACAGATTCCATTTTGTTTAAAAAGCCTTTAGTAACAGCAGTTATTATGAAACTGGGATCAATGTTGTTATTGAAAAAGGATGTGGGATCTCCTTCCGTTGATAGGTTAAGCAAAAGCAGAATGACTGTTTATCATGGATAATTTAAATTGGATTTCTTTACTGAGCAGTGGCTAAGACTCAGTGGTCTTTACTGAGCAATGGGTAAGACTCTCTAATCCTACTCATACAATCTTGAGAAAGCTGTTTTCTATTGTGTATTGAATTGCATATATCAATCCCCCACACTTGATGTCTACAAGTTAATTAAATGCACTTAAGTCTATGCAATCAAACTTATTTAAATGTCAGTACCAAATAACTAAAAATAACCAATATCCACATGGTAAGATTTATTAATATAATTGTATATACATCGAATAAACCTGATTTATAGGAGACAAATAGGAAGAATTCCTTTCTGTAGTATTGATTGTCAAAGACTGGAAGAAAACAATTGTTTAACAGAAAATGATTTATCAAGTGAAATTAAATATATGGTTTAAATTTCCCCATCCCTTTTTTTAATGCAAATCTGTATCCATATTTTAAAAATCTACTTATCCAACTGAGTGTATCTTACAGAATGGAAAGGGGTAAATGTTTTTCTGGAAGAGACTGATAAAAAAAAGTGAAGAATCAGTAGTTAGGAATGTGCCAGGAAAGCTGCCTATTTCTGAAGAGAAAAAAAAACACCCCACCAATTATTTGACATACTATCTTCTGATACAGCAGAGGCCATTCAGAGCAGCACTCTGAAAATATATGGAGAAAAGTTCTCTGAGTAATTTGGGTTGGGTTAAGAAAATTCTGGTGCATTCTCAGTAGTATTAGTAGTATTAGTTTATATGATACAGCTTAAAATGATAATTTAAAGTTCCCAGGTTCATAAATCAAGCTGACCCTAGTGATAATCTCTGCATAATTCTGATGCTGTTCCTAAGTATTTTTTCTATGATTAAAACATTCTTTAATATTCAGTTTTATTTGTTCAAATCAAAGTCATTGTTACCTTAGAGACAACTGTGAAAGCATTGGGGATTCAGTATTTTGTAGAAGTATATTTCAAAAAAGTGACACCATTCTTTAAAACCATATTGTCCAAGTGATTGGGATTATTTTTCAGCTCCATTATAGACTGTATAACAACTAATGCTAGGAAGATTTCTGTTTACCAAAAGAGCTGCCAGATTTATTTTTGTGATCTCTGTTCAGGGAATCTAAGATCTTTCTGAGGTACTTTGGTAGATGTTTACCAAGCCAAATTTTGGAGTTTAAAGTATATAAGATACTCATTTATTCAGCAACCTTGAAGAATAGTTTAAATTCTACAACAGGTTTAACTATGCTGTGAGTTGCTTATCTATTCCACATTAGTTGGATTAAACATGGTAGATAAAAATAGTAATGATATATAATGCATAGTGACAAATTAAACTACTTATGAAAAACGTGGTAATAATTACAATGGTTAAAGATACGGTGGGATTTTCTACTTCCCAAACTATAGAACATTCTGAAGAATATTGTATCACCAAAGAATTTACAGTTTGTTGGTCTAAGCAAACATAAAATTAAATGAAAATACAACAGCAGAGACAGATGGCATTTCACTGTGCTGTACATCATCTTCATAAATCACTGCATTTAGTAAGTTCATTTTGCTAGAAAAGAAGGAACTATATTATGACAGGATGGCAAGGAAAGCTGTTTCTATTGTTATTTTAAAATAGCTGGCAACTTGCCTTTATCCTACTAATTTTAACACACTGTTACCAGAGACTGAAATGTGTGAATATTAATGTAAGTAATTTGAAGAACTGATTACTGAGAGTTAAGAATTGGGAACTCCAAAACCTGGATATGAAAGCATTGGGAGATGTCATACGAAGAGGAAAGATGGAAACATGACTGTAACGAGCACTTAAAATTTCAGATTTCAGAGTGTAGACAAATTTTGAAAATATTTTTTATGGGGTATTATTGTTGTTTGGTCACTAAGTCATGTCCAACTTTTTGTGACCACATGGACCATAGCACACCAGGCCCCACAGTCCTACAGAAGGCTTTATGTACATTGGCCCAGCAGAAGCAAAATGGAGGTAATGTGAAGTGTGCATGTGTAAACAACTGCAATGTATAGGAGTGGAGCCAGGACATTTGTTCGGCTATGGGCTGCACTTTTTAAATATTACTTTTAATTTGAAGAGACCATGGAGCTTAATGATGAAACCAAAGAGACAGTGTTGGAATCTTGTGCCCATGTTTTTCATCAGAAGATAGTATTGAACTGTGAAGTTTAATGTGAAAAAATAGTATTTTGACACTAGAATCTTTGTTAAAAAGCAAAAATAGTTTACAAGTGAAGTAGGATGAAGGATCTGTTAGTTAAAGGTTTCTACTCTACAGTTTTTGGTCAGCTAAGCCACAGTACACGCAAAGAAGTTGTATTACTGTATGTAATAATAGACATTCAATCAATTTTTCATAGATTAGTTATTATGAAACTGAAAATTGTCCTTATTACTATATCAACACAGACTTTCCAAAAATCCAATGACATGGTCTAAATAGTCCTATTAAAAAAAAATGAAAGAGCTCAATTGATTCCTGCTCAGTTGCCATGAACTACCAAGAAGACTTTCAACCCTGACGATGCTGACAAAATGTCAGGCACCAAATTAAATCATGGCCTATTAGCCTTGATGCTCCTCATCACTAGATGTCACTATTAGTTTGATTAAAACAAAATTAATTTTGTTCTGTTTTGAAAGAAAGTATTTTATTATTTATATATTGCCTTGATCACTTGATAAATATAGTATCTAATACTCCTTTCTCCTCCTATTTTCCCCAAACCAACCTTATAAGGTAAGTTAGACTGAGAGAGAATGACGAGCCCAAAGGCCTAAAATGGGACTAGAACTCACAGTCTCTTGGTTTCTAGCCTGGTGCCTTAACCACTACACCAAACTGCTATAATGAATTAACAAAATTCCACATCACAAAAAATTTCACAAGTTATCTAATTTTTTTTTTTACTACAACTAAGAAACGATGTACATCTGTGTATCCAGCAGCACCTGCACTGTGGGAAAGAGGAGGGGCAGAATGATGAAAGTAAGGTCATATCACAATGAAAGTCCTCCCTCTTTCAGATATGCATCATGATGTTGCATTTATTTATTTATTTACAGGTAATCCTCAACTTAAAATCATTTGTTTAATGACCATTTGAAATTACAATGGGACTGAAAAACGTGATTTATGATAGCTTTTCACATTTACAATCATTGCAACGTCTCCATGGTCACATGATCAAAATTCTAATGCTTGGGACTGGCATGTATTTATGACAGTTGCAGTGTCCAAAGTCCCCTTTTGTGACTTTTTGATAAACATAGTCAATGGGGAAGCCAGATTCACCTAACACTCCTGTTACGAACTTAACAACTGCAGTGATTCACTTAACAACTGTGACAAGAAAGGTCATAAAATGGGGCAAAACTCACGTAACAATTGTCTTGCTTAGCAACAGAAATTTTGGACTCAATGTGGCTATAAGTCAAAGATTATCTAGCAAGTGGCATCTATAATAATGTGCTTATTATTGGATAATGGTAGTTTGTTGGCTCTGACCACAAGCAATTGGATTTGGCCTCTCTTGGAAATATTTGTGTTTCTTTGGAATCACCACTACCAGT